GAATATTTTTTACATCGATTATTATATACAACTGATGTAGAATGTGACACTTTTTACATTAGTGTTTAACAACCAATGTAAACAATCTTAAACTTTCTACATCGCCTATATTTACATCGGATACAGAACTGATGTAAAAGGCCTCTTTTAATCGATGTAAAAAGCTTTTTTTTTTTCACTAGTGTTAATATAATAAATTTTAGCATTAATTTTTTAACTATTAAAAAAAATAATTTTAAAGACAAGTAAAGCTATCATGAATATGAGTTAAAAAATTTAATCGCTATTAATGAGCAGTTTTTTTAAATTAACGTCTCCTTAGGTGCAAGAGTAATATTGTTCAAGACTACAATCTTAGAATAATGCTTTTGGATGACAAATGTGTTTATAAAAGAAGAAAGAAGAAAGAAAAAGAAAAACATGTTAAAAAAATATTAGAAGGTTGCAGTGATTACACTTATTTTGAAAAATAAAAGGCTATCTTTTTATAGTATTTAATTCCAACTATTGTGAGCAATAATGATAAGGTGTTCTAAAATAGAATGAGCACTTTACTAACTATACAAATTTTGTTATTTAGTTGAAAAAGAATATAATAAAAAAGAGATTTTAAAACATTCTTCCGGTCATATTCTTTGATTTGTGCCTCTGCAATTAGGACCAATCTTTTTCCTAACTTGAAAAAGTCTTTACTATTTTGGGAGAGCCCTATGCCTCATATAAATGTCTATTAGGACTATCCCTAGGCTATAGGTTTTGATACAAGATTGAATATGATTTATAAATATCTTAATAATATTTTTTTATTTAATTTTCTTTATCTCCTTATCCTATCACTTTTTTTCTCTTTTCTTTATATCACTTTTTGGAAGTGTACACCTTCTTGATTGTCTAAGAAATATTTTCTAGATAAAAATTATTATTCTTTAGTAGTATATCATTCATATTTCTAGAGGCCCACCCTACCATCAAAGGAATCCCGTTTTGCCCTACCCATGTTGCTGGCATTAAAATAACTAGTTGATCTACAAAAATCGCTAAGAGATGCTATGATAAGTAGCCGGTTATAATAGTAACTTGTTGAAGTTGAAGCCAAATGTGTCTAAAAATCATATTATTAACCCATAAGCAAATTTTCATTTTAAAAAACATGGAAAAGGAGAATGTTTTATTATCATTCCAATTTAAGAAATTTTAATTTTAATTATTTTATGGTTGATTTGAATAACCAAAAGGAAAAAAATATTTTGATAAAAAAATATTTAAATAAGAGTGGTAATATATAACAGAGACATAAAATTTTGTATAAATTAAAGTACTATGCATCAGAGGCAAGTGTTTAATAGCTAAATAATTAAGCATAAAGAAAAAACTTACAATGGAAACTACATATTGTATTGGGGTAGTTTCTCACAGTGCAATGCATAATTTTGAACACTAGATTTGTCGATTTCTAGCAGAAAAGATTGAAAGCTTTTCTTTGAAGTATCAAACGTAGCTCTTGTATGGTTACTAAAACACAATTACCGCTACACCACCACCGTACCTTGCTAATATCAATGTAAATTTAATATGGTAAACTTAGTAATTCAGTTTTAATTTTATTTTTTATTTCAAATTTATCCTTTAACTCTTTTTTAATAAATTTTGAGAATAGTAAAAGCTCTAAAAAATTTGATTAATCATTATTAAAATATAAAGACTTCACGTTTGAAGTAAAATAAGTCTTGAAAAATAATTTGATCTCTTATTTTAATCAATGAAAGTATGCAAAAATTTGATATACTAGTCACAATTCAAGGTCAACCCACAATTAATTTCAATAATTGTTGAAAGGATAACCTGAGAAAATGGATGTTCAAAGTTGGATTTTAATAAAAAAATGATGTCCAATTTTTACGCTTTAATCTTTTATTTTAACTGATAAAATGATCCATGTTTTTTTACATGTTATTCGTAATATGGTATATATAAAATCCTTTGATCAATTTCGAGAAGCATTGAAATAATAATAATAAAAAAGTTTAGTATTCCAAGAGTTAATCATGTTATAACAAAAGACTAACTTAATACGAAAAATAAATAAATAAATGACTAAATCCAATAAAAATAATTAGAAGAAAAATTTTAAAAAAATAATGTTAGATGGTCAAAAACTCCTATTTTTATCATTTTATATTATATTACTTCCTAAATTGTATTTAAATGAATATAATATTTTATTAATTATATTCATAATTTTATTTTTTTATTTTTCATTTTAACCCTTGTTACTTTTTATCTTACAAAATATTATGGTGATTTTATGTTAATTTATAATTTAATTTAACTTAGTTTTTTTTTCCATAATTTTGTTACTATATATTGGAAAAATATGCAATTAATTGTCAAAGGTTCAACACAATTTAAAAACAGTTGAATAGAAAGCTAAAATTGATTAGACAAAGAGTTGCAAAAGAAGAGAATGAAACAATCTCAAAGGAGTTACATACCACATTCTAGATTTTTTACTTCAAAGCAAGAAGAATTTATCCTAATTTACTTCAAAGGAATTACATACTACGTTCTAGATTTTTTACTAAGATAATTTATTAAAATTTTATTAGATAATTTTTTTAGTATTTTTCAAAAATTTTCTTAAACTCCAATTCTAAATATTTTTTTAATACAAATATCTTCGAGCTTAATAAATAAACAAAAATAATAGATTTTAAATCATTATTAAAGTATTTAATGAATTTTAATGATAGCAAGAGGAACTTCTTGACATGTGGTTTAAAGAAGATTTCTTATCATTTAAGCTTGTGCTCAAAGTATTTTTAAAATTTTAATGCGATATTGAATATTTAACATGTGACATTGTTGAATAAATATTTCATTAGGTAACTCAACATTTAATAAAAATAAATTAAAGATATGAATTAATTTTTTATTTGTTTAATTTGTTTAGAGATTGAATCTTAAAAAAATAATTAAGAACTAATTTTAAACTCAACTTTCATAAAGACAAATTTTTTAACTAAGCCTTTATTTTTCAGATAATTTTAAATATTGTGTGTTGATGAAAATAAAAGACAATATTGAATTAAAACTTTGTTGCCAACCTTTAATAAATGAAAGTTAACACCAATAACTATTTTTTTAAAATTTATTAGAAACTAAATTGCAGAAAAAACGTTTTGAGCACTAATTTTAAATATAATAATTGTTATTAGTGAAAAATTATTTAAACCTTTATTTTATAACACATGTCACGAAATTTTATAACGAAGTTAATTTGATTTTTTAATTAATTTTAATTAATTTTTTATTTTATAAATTTATTTAATGCTCAGGTTTTCTCCCATCAACATTAAGTATTATGAAATATTTATAAATTATCATGAAAAAATTATTCTAATGATTAAATTAGCTTTAAAAAATTTTAAAATTGAAAGTTATAAACGTTTATATTTTTTGTATTATACTTAATTTTTGAATTAAAATTTTTATACTTATTTATATTATAAAACGCACACACGATACTTGTCATTAATTATAAAACAAAGCACAAGGCGGGATTCACAAGCCTAAGGGGAGAAAATTAAACTCCCCTCAAGTAGGTTTATTTGTAAATTAAAAAAACATGGAATTATTCACCTTAAAATTTTTACGAGTTAATGTATTTTAAATTAAATTTATAGTAAATAATTCTTTATTCTTGGTCTCATTTCTTTTACTTTATTAAAAAATTCATTTTAAATTTTTTTTTACTGCATAACATTTGGAAAATAAACCTCACAGATATATCAGTTATCATTTGTCTTCTTGAAAAGAAAAGAAAAAAACAATGCAATGAATTTCATCATGTTAAAACTTCATGTAATAAGCTATTTATTTTAGTACCTCTTTTTAAAATTTTGTAGTTAATTTTTATAAAGATGCAGATGCAATTAAAAATATTTTAATATAAGATAACGAATTATTTTTATTTTTATCTCTCTTAAAAGACGTCATTTAAGAACGAATTTGAAGTTTTAATCACTTTTATTGCTAATGACTAATTTTGGAGCTAAGAGGGAAACCCAATTATAACTATATTATTATAAATCTTTAATAACATTCCCAATAAACAAACCGAATTGATCCAAATTGAGAATGGTATTTCTAGTTTGTATTTTTGAATGAGACAACAAGGAGGGTCGTGAAAGAAAAGGGTCAAATTATTAACATTTTAAAATGAGTTACATTACTTATATAATATTTTTTATAATATTGTTTTATTTTTATTTTCTCTCTTATTATTTTTAAATGCCTTCCTAAATTCAAAAGAAAGACCTAAACTCAAATGCACTTGTTAACAACCAATTATTAGGATGTTGAAACGAGAAAGTTGTTTTCACCATTTTCGATTTAAATATTTAAAAAGAAAATAAAAAATGTGGCATTTTCACAATTACAAATAAAAATATAAAACATTTTCTCCTTAATTCTTCTCATAAGCTTTAGTCTCAAATATTGAAGGAGCAAGGATGCAGTTATAAGTCGTGTTACCAAAAGTAACAGAGCAGTGTGAATTGATGTAGTTCCTTTATTTATTGATTTATTTGTATTGCACTGATATGTGAACATGTGCCATATTTTTGTAAATTGTTGACCTTTTCTCCATTCCTTGAGACATATCATTTGTTTCACTTTACAACTTCTATTATAAATCAAGTTTCACTCCTACCCTTTTTTTTCTTGCCACCCTACGTACTCATCATTTTCTGCCTACAAATATTCCCTTTAAGGATATGCCCAAATGGATCTTGCCAAAACACAGTTACATTGTAGGCAACACAATCTGAATCATGCAGGTCCTCAAGCTTCTGTGACTGTTACAAGTTCTTGATCATTGACTATTTAGGACGTAAGTTGTGCATGAATAATGTTATGCCCCATGTAGAGTTTTTTTCATGTGTACATAGAGACCAACGTAAACATCAAAATGGTACCTTGCTCTAAAGAATCAGCAGGAGCTACTTCCTTTCTTCATGAGTGTTATCTCCTGTAGTTTTGGATTTCCGTTGATCAACAGGAACAAAAATTTCATATGTACCTTCTTTTTCTCCTGCCTTCTTCTTCAGGTGATCATCAATGTCAGTGTAATCCAAATCCTTTAAAATGCCAGGATCTCGCATGCCTTCCTTGCCATACATTGTTCCCATTTCCATGTCGAATTTTTGTTTTGGGTTCATAAAACCTTTTTCAAGATCCGAAGTATAGGACATATCTTGAACATCATCCTCCACCTCAACTAATTCTCTGAAATTGACCAATTTTCTTGGGATCTTAGCACAGGAAAGTTCATTGAAGTTTGCCATTAGTCCTTTTGTATATGGATTTTCCTTCTTATCATAGCGGTACCGGAAATTTTCGTAAGTTGTCTGTAACAAAATAAAATGTCAAAAAAGTTGGTGTAATGCTGCATGACACACATAGGGGTCAAATTTATAGGCAAATATACAATGAGAATACTAAAGATGGACCCTAAACTTAGTAAATGAACACAATAAGAAATTCTCATATACAATGTTCATCTATCTTCATCTTTTATATCCTCACAACTCTTCCCAAGGAAACTGAAAGAACCGATACAAGGATTTGTCTCCATTTGCTGGTAACTTAGAAAGCTCCCACATATATATAGCATATAACAGCAAACATAGTTCATAGAAACAGTCCCTAGAATATAATCTACAACTTGGACTAGCAAATTTACTATTTATAACTAAGACCAATTCTAAACTCTCCTAAACTCATAATGAATCAATGACTACTAAGAATCTCACAAATGCATACAGAAAGAAAGCAACTCATAGATATTGCAATAATGAATATCCATCCACAGCTTATAGAATCAAATAATATGGATCATCAAATAAAGAAAGAGAATACCTGGTTGGTAGAAATCAAATAAAGATGGAACACTGTTAGCCCTCCCACGAACCAAACAGCTATGAAGCAATACACAATGAGAGTAACCGATAGAATATCATGTGACATGATGACCAACAATCTACCCTTTTGCCGAAGAAGGTTAGCCCAAGAAAATGCAAATACGTATATACACAACAAGGTTGATGATGATATGAAACATATGAAGAATGGATAGTTACGCTGAAAAAACATGAAGAGGAGGAATAGTGTAAGATTCTGATGAAGAAAGGATGAGAAGGATAAAGATAAATAGACTCTGGTAACATTGACAGTTTTGTTATTTAAACATCTAAGAATTCACACTGTATGAGAGACATTGTATACAATTGGTTGTCTCTTTCTAATTTTTTTAATCTTTTTTGTATACACTTAAATTAAAAATACTATCCTAAGTTAGGATAACTTTTTATTGTAAACTTTAATAGTTCATGAAACACTTTCCTAACAAAGAGGAAAGAAACCGAAATATGACCATAGTAGTCCATACCAAAACAAAAGTCATTTCTCTTTCCAAAAATTAGTACAGTGTGAACTGCGAATAAATAAAGAAAACAACAAATAATAATGAGATGACTTAGTCTTCAGCAAGCAGCAACTTAAGCAAAAATTTATCTTAAGAAAGAGGAAATAATATTCTTGAAAGGCACCAAAATGGGGAAATATGACATCCAGTATTGAACCCTGAAATGCCCTTCCCAATCCAATCGATTTTTTTCTGTATGCCAAATTTATTAGTGAAAAGTGAAAACAGATCTATAATGGGGAAGGGAGGAACTAAAATAAGTACTTTCATATTAAAAAAAAGGGTGGCCCAATGCATGAGGTTCCCACCTATTGGAGTCTGGGAAGGTAGATGTATACAGTCTTATCCTTGTAAACAATGAGACTGTTTCTTGGATTTGAATCCATGACCTTAAAGTTACCTCCAAGGACTTTCAAAATCATCAAAGAAAAAGGAAATTCTATCCTCACAAATGAAATCAATCTTGGAGAAAAAAAAAAAAAAAGATTAAGTGGACCTTGAATCAGATTTTCAATAGGAAAAATGATGCAAACGGCTGTCAATAATCACACAAAAGAAAAAGAAAGCTTGGCCTCTCTTTGAGGGTATTTGCATTTTCAATAGTGATGGATGATTCTTTAAACTATGCAATAATAAACTATATCAGATTCTCTTTCTCTTGCATAAACTAGTCTGCATAGTTTGTAGTATTAGAAATTTAAACTAAATTTCACTGTTTATTGTGTAAACGATTTCAACATAATAAAGCATGTAAATATAAATGTATCAATATAAGCAAATGTAAATAAAAAACCAAAGCAAATCATATAGTTTTAATATATTTTTCACACATAAAAATATGATACATGCAATATGTGCGTGTGAGTGAGTGAGAGAGTGAGAGAGAGAGACGAATGTGAGAGGACTATTTTTATGAGAGTGAAAAGGACAAATATTGATCATTATATCTTACCATGAATGATTAGGACTAAAGCATAAAAGTCACTATTGTGGCTATATATGATTACAGAGAAAAAGACATAAAATTCCTTTTTCTCAGCTAAAGAAAGCTGCAGATGCTGAATATACATGTAAAGTTTGTTTGATAGACTGAAGATGGTTTGGACAACTTACTGATCCAATACACTGACCAACCCAAGGGCAGTGATGATCAAACTTCTGCACACAGTTATTGCAGATAGAGCAATGGGAAGCGCGTGGTGGACGATACAGCAAGCAAGTGTCACAGAATTTCACCTTCACGGTGTGGCCATTCACTATCACATCCTTCACTCTGGGCAATTTCAGATTAGGGGTCTTATTGTTTACCCACTCCATGGATGCTGTATTTGTGTCTAAGTCATCTGAATCAGGTAGTGTTGCATTCCTGGGAATAATTCCGGGATCTCTACCAGATGTCATGAAGAGAAACATAAAATCCTGTATCAACAAGTTCAATGTCATGTTTAAAATATCATGAGCAAGCCAACTACTCATTATTGAGAAGGAAACCTTTTAACTTTACCAACCAAAATTGTGAGAACCGCTCCCGCAATCAGTACAGGTTGGCTAAAGAGAGGATCTTCATCTTTTAATGTTAATAGCATTCTTATGCAGAATGTTATTGCAGGACCTCCAATCAGGAACGATGTTAAATAAAGAGATGATGCATCCTGACCAAACACTAATCTTCCACCACATAGAAATTTCTGACATGAAATACAAGTTTTATCAAAGATCAGTTTACATGATAGTTCACTTAAAATCTAAGGCCTTATAGACTGAATCCTCATAAAAAATTCAAGTAATCACCCTTCAGATATGATTTGTTTGTGTCCCGTTTTCAAAGTGACCATTCACTTTTCTAAATTTACAAGTTCCATATGTTTGATATCTAAAGAACAAAATTTCCAGATTGTGTGTTTAAGGGGTTCTATTGTCTTGCTATGGAAGACTAATAATGTAAGGGGTAAATGCATCAAACGGTTTTATTCCTTGTAAAGAAGGCAAATGAACCAAGATTGCTAAGGTGGTGAATGGAAGAGACAGATAGCTGTCTCACGTCAACTTTCTATCTCTCTTCTTTTATTCTGTAATTCCATTTTCTTAGGTCCCAAGTAACAGTCTGGTCCAAGAAGAAATTCGCCCATTCAACTGCCACAAAAAGTAATCTTCAGAACGTTCCACAATCCACATAAATTAAAAGGAGTAAAATACAATTCGGTTCCAGAAGATGTTACTTGTGTTGCCTTAGTCCTTGAAAGTTTCCATCTATATAACTCGTGAAAAAATTTACCTTGCTGAAGTTGTCACGTTACCAATGAGTTCATCCTTTGGATACCAATTTATGTTGACATAAATTTTCAGAACTAATAAAACAAATTACACATTTACTCAAATGAAAAGTCATATATCTTTCACTAAGATGAATATGTCTCACATTACGTCTTATACCCTAACCCTTCATCGTGTGTCTACATAAAAACTACACAATTCCATGCATGAACTCAAACCTTTTCAATGGTTCAATAATTCTGGGGGGGAAATGTAATGCAAACCCTACATATATAATTTTTTTAGCGACACATAAAATGCAATAGAAAACAGCATCAAGTGGCATTCTAGTAACATGCATGTAATCACCATTTGCACTCCACAAATTTTCCACTATTCTACCCCAAAAATGAAATACCTATTACAAAATGAATTTTCTTATTTTCCACTAAATGTTGGGAATACACCTACCTGTTACTTGAATTGCTCCCTCCACTCACCCGTAAAAAGTCAAAATTCTGAAGAATAAGAATAAGGGCACAAATATATCTCTACATTCATTCAGAAACGCATCATATCAAATACCCTACATTTTCATTCCAACCCTCTCAAGATCACATTCCCCCCACCCCCCTAGAGTATCAGATACCTCACATTAATCCTGTGCCGTTCAATAACCTCAAAAACACGAAAAGGGTTATAAAAAATATCAATTTTTTGCCCTCCCTATTGGTTTGTTCCCTGAAAAATATCTGCACAATAACCTATTTTCTTCTGTGGGCACAGGAAGAAAACCAACATACATGGCCAACGTTTTAATTTTGATCGAAGAAAAACAACAGTGACACCAAAACTTAAAAGGGTCTATAAAAAAAATTCAGAAAAAAAAGTGTACATTGTTTCCTTTCCAAACTTGATAGAGCCTTCTGGTTTTGACATTGGAAGTTTCCACTGAGGCGGCCACAGAAGGGGAGGGAGAGGCCAAACTATTGGGGATGTGGGTGCTTGTGAACATTATGACCTTCGATTATATTGATAAATACTATGATGAGTCTCCTTTGTTAGCAAAAACCCACGTTCATTTGTTGTTTTAAGATTTTTGCTTCTTTTTTTGTTTTTGTTTATGCTGTCCCCTCACCCAATCAATTAGCCCTGGTGGAGGAACAAGAAGAAGGGAATTGAATTTCCCTTCTCAGGTTCCTTCCTTCCTTTCTTACTATATCATTTTCCCACACCACACCCCTTCACCTCTTTCTCTTTCTCTCCATGAAACAAGCTTTGCTCTAACGATTTTTCAAATTCCACCGGCTTTTTCGCGGGTACCAACTACTATTTTAGAATAACATAGCTAAATCCTAAGTGGTAAAAATTGTTTTTTGGGAGAGTATGTTCAAATGACTTGGCATTCACCTTCCTTTTTCTTATCAGTTACGTATATTCCAAACATTTCTCACTCTTCCATTCTCACCAAAGCCAAACACATTCTTAGTCATGATCAATTCATCGTACAGGAAGGCTGGCAATTCATCTTTTAACTCACTTTTTGTTATTAATTAAAATTTAATTTTTTTTTATATCTAACACTTTAAGGGATTGAGTCATGAATTCAAAAATAAATTTAATGTTCTTGTTATTATTAAAATTATGTTATATCTTTTTATTAATTAATTACTTTTTATTTCAAATTAAGGGTATAATTGATAAAAGATTAATCTATATAACTAGGAATAAAAAAATTCTTAAAAGTGTGACAAAATTAAAAATATATATATGAATCTCACTCACAAGATGAAGGGGGTCTCACTTCATATTCAATGAATGTTACATACATTTTACCTGATAATAAAAAATATACTATTAGCATTTTTAAAATAAAATAAATATTTTATCATTATTTATCATCTTTAAGCAAACTCAAATTATTAATTGCTTTTGGTTTGACGTTAATTTTTTCTCCAATGAAAACTATGTATACTCTTCAATTAAACATAGAAGGGTCAGTCAAGTCAAGAAGAATCGGACTACTATTCTTACTTTAAAATGAAACACTCTATTCTCTTACCAAAATTTTTAGAACCAAAAAAATTACTTCTCCAATTATTTTCTTGCAAAATTTTAAATTTTACATCAAATTTTATTATTTTCCTTTTATATTTCAGTTAATTATACTTATTTATTTAAACTAATTATGCATATATTCCTAATAACCGTAGAAACATATTACTTTAACCTCCCTTTTGATATGTATTCAGTATTCAAAACGTAAATATTTTGTAGAATTGTTAGTCTATGATAATTATAGAATTGATAAAAATATTAACTCTAGTATTTTTAATTTTTTATATACTAAATTATCTTCCCAGTAATTCTAATCACGTTCATAATTTATGCAAAGATAAATATTTTCATCATCAAAATTTTAAATCAAACAATTATATGTAAAAAATTTCAATATAAACTTATTTTTTAAAAATTAAATAACCCCTGTTAACAATAAAGTACAACGTCGGTAGGACACTTTATATTGGAAAAAGAGGTTACACAAATTTTTAGACAAATATCTCTGTTCCAATCCAATTTTTTTCCAAAGCAACAAATTTTCAATTCTAAATAAATTTAGAATTTAAAACAAAGATGGCAGATCCTTTCTATTTATTGTAAAAAGGATAAAAATGTCTTATATTTGTAATCTTAAAAAGACTAAAAATGAAATTTATTGAAAGCATAAAAAATATAACTTTTACAAAAAAAAAATATTTCAATAAATGTCAAATTTATAACAAATTTTTATATAAAAAATTAAATAAACATTCAAGAAAGTTATTGTTTAAACACAGTCTAAATGATTTTTTTAAGGATCACAGTGTTCAGTACTTTTGCTAAGGACTGAATTTAGTACTCTTTCTCAAACATTACTTTATTGGATTGGATTCGCTGTCTTCGCGTCACATAAAAGGTAGATCATAAGATAGATCTTACACGAGAGAATATTTGAGACATTACAAGATCAAGTACAATGATGATTTTAACGATGATCCTGAAGGGTCATCAAGCACCACCTCATCCAAAGTAATCATCACAGATCTTACTTATATTATTCTCCCACTAGTACACGACATCGCACATCCTTGCTCTCTACATTCATAATCAGAATATTGAGACCAGTACTCTAAAATTTCTGCACCAAAAGTAGTGCCGTGTCATCTCAGTATTTACATGTGCCACTGCTAACTTCACCTTCCTATCCTTTTTGGTCCCAAAATAGTTCCCATTAATTATAGGGAGTGAAGGTCTACATGGATACTTTAAAATTAATTGATGGGTGGCAAATAATTTTCTTCAATATTCCAAATTTGCTTAGAGCAATTGATTTTGGCTGTTATTATAAATATTAACGAGTGAAATTCTGTACAATGCAGTATTATTAAATAAAATTAATAAAAATTACAAATATATTATATAACTATTGTGGAATTGTGGGCTCTTTGGATTTATAATATTGTGCATTGTATTGAAGGAAGTTTTGCCAAATATTATATATAATTTTTGTAATTTCAGCAATTCTTTTATACATGCTTTTTAAATAAGAAATCAGGCATGTACCACTTGAGTTATCTTTCCATTAGCTAAAAGCCTTTTATGATGATATTTAAAAGGATAATTTAATAGTTTTCTCCATGATACCAATTTATAAGCAGTGATTCTGTCCCTGGACCTGCTCCACGGTGGCCTAAACTTGTGTACCCAATAAAGAAAAGAAAAATAAGAGACATGGTGTTAATTAATGAGACTAATTGATGGAAAAATAATAAATAAAAGTCAAGTCCATTATCATTGTCCATACAAATTAGCTTGTCTTATTAGTAGGATATTTACTTTCCCTCCATGTGAATTGTGGAATCTTTGGTACGATTAAACACTGAAAACTATTGCTTTTTTTTCCCTGTATTTGGGTTCGGGTTCAGCAGGAAAATTGAGATAATCCCATACCATACAAATCAAGTTTAAGGTGCAGCCACAGAGATAAGTTTAGTACGTCTTGTACAACCAAGAAAATAACTCTCATACATCAACTTAAAACGTAACGATAATCAAGTTTTATTCCATTGCTTGAACTACATAGAAGGCGTTCGTCTTTGAGTTCAGTTAAAAACCAAATGCTATTCAAACTTAAAATGCTATAAAAAGAAAGGAAAAACCACAATTATTTAAATTCGATGGTTCAACGAATAATTAAAATAACAAAAACAGATTTTGTTTTTCTCTTTTCCAATAGCAGGGACAAAGTGAGAGAAGAAAGGATATCAAACAGATTTCTACTATCAATAAAGGAGAAATCCTTTCTATTGAAGTACATATTTCTAAACATCCAAATGTTCATTTTCTCTAGTTCCTTTTCCAACATAGAAACTCAAAAATTTCTGATCCATCCAACAAGACGCTAATAATTATTTTCGGGACTGGATCATCCACAGGCCAACCATATGCAAAAGAATAGAATATCTGGATGATTTTTGGAAATGATGGCAACAAACTAAATGTTCAATTCTACATGTCAAGTTCATCCTTACCATATGGACCAAAAGGCCTACTCAAAATCCTTCCCATCCCAAGAGAGGTAAAAAGAAAAGATAGCTAACAGAAAAAAGACACAAATTACACAATGTTCCTTACAGTTAACTTTTGTTAGTTACCCACATTAGTAAGTAGGCAACCTGATCTTTTTTGTGCCAATTCACTTGAATTGCCAAAAGGAAAGGTTGGTCTGCTAACAACATCTTTCTAAATAGTTCCATCCTGTTGTCTGCCATAACTAGAGCTGAGAAACAAGCAATGGCATAAATGAGACTTTCCATTCTTTTGAGGCTGGGAGCTAACAATGTGAAATCCGAATTATCTAAACAGTTTTGCTATTTCTACACCGGAAAGACAGAATTTCATACTTCCTCCAATCCTATTAATAAGAAGCAAATAACAAATTCATCAAGACTAATAAAAGAGTTATATGCCATAAATTTGAAGTGTTATGAAAATACCCATAGTAATAAATGATTAAATTGATGACTCATAACATTATATGAATATTATTCACTTGTATAGGTAATAGGTGGATGTCTTGTTTACACATCTCAAAATAAATAAGGATATAGAAAGAATTTAGCAATTAATGCATCTGAAAATAGAGTTTTGTTTCTTATAATTTAGACAAAAAAAGTATTAGTATGTAGTAGTGGTTTCTTATAAATAGGACCAAAGGGAGTACTATTTAGTTATAAAATTATCAAAATAAAAAATCTATATTGTGTCTACTTTTGGATAACCACAATATAATATTATCATGATTTGTTTTCATACATTATACGTTCAACAGTTCAGTTCTATTTGCAGTCACCATTTCATCTGAATGAACCACAAACCATTTAAGAAACACTGGCAGCAGGTGTAACCCAGGACTTCAAACTTTATAGCTTTAACTCTTTACATCAACACTATATCATGTCATGCGGCAAACTTCTTACAGTCTATCTTTATTATTGAAAAATGAAATAATAATAATCACCCTCCTCCCATATGCATACTTAAACTATAATACAAATATCCATACTTGTTTCATATCTGTTCCATGATTGAAAACATATTAAAAGTATTACCAATTTATAATGCTCTTTATGTTATTTCTCTATTTCTCTGTATCTTTTTGCAGGGAAAAATTTTCAATGACAGAAGGAAATACCAATATAATTATCTAACTTTTGCATAAAAGTTAGCCATAAAAGTGACCTGAGCTATAAAAAATAGTCACCGATATAAATGAAAAACAGAAATCCACAAAGATAATCTTCCCTGCAACATCAAGGCTTTGTTTGAAAGAGAGATGAAATATGAAGGAAAGAAATAATATGAGAAATAGAGTGAAAAGATATATTGTTTGGAATCTTTGGATGAGTAGAAATAGGAGAGTTAAAAGTGGAAAATCCTCTCCACTTGTTTAAATAAACGAAAAAGAGAGTGAAAAGAAATAAGTAAATTTTACAAGAAACAATTTTATAACAATAATCATGAATCATAAATTAGATTAGATTAAAAATTAAACCTTTTAATATAATTTTTTTCTAAATATTTGCTTTTAAAACTTTTTATATTAACACATCATGTTAAAATTACTTAATACAAATAAAAAATTAAATAAAATTCAAGCCCCTTTTTCACTGTTGTTTTTACAGGTAACGGAAAGAGAAAAAAAGAAATCTGGGACCCACCCCTTTCGTTTCTTTCCTCTCACTAAAATACAAAACATCCAAACAAGTCAAAATTTTAACTTTCTACACAAAACCACTTGTCTCAATTTCTTTCCTCTCAAGATCACTTCATCCAAACAAAGCTAAAAAGACTTTCAAAATTAACCATATACTTGTAATGACATAAATCCACTAAACATCTGGCTTAAGTTTCAATATTTCAATTGGAAGCACCTTGTAGGTTCATGTATGATAAAAAGCAAGAGGACTAGAAAGATAGATCTAGTTTAGATAAATTTCTAGAGAAGTACTTATAAGAAAAAAAATTAATATAAAAAGTTAATCAAAATTTTTTCATAAGTTAGAAACAACTTATACTTCTCAATTTTTTGAGAAACTCTCTTAACTCCTCTAAAATTTGAGGAGATAACTTGTTTTTAACTTGGAAAAAAGTTTTGTTTACTATTATACTGATTTTTTTTTCCTATAAGAACTTCTCTAGACGTTTACCGGTAAACTGGACCAAGTAAAAATAGAGGTTATAAACTTCCTAATGTTACAATATATCACCAACACCAAGGATTAATCATTGATCATGAAAAGTATGAGATAGAGATCAAGATAAGGACAGAGAAAGATGAAAAACTATTTAGTATATAAGAAAGTAATTTGGAAAAAATGAATACTAACCTTATCTTTATGTATAATCATTCAGAGGCCATCTCATCCAAAACTCATCAGAAAATTAACAAAAGTAACCCCTACATTTTGCAGATCCACATAAGCATTTCTTTTTCTTCTGACCTACTTTGAGAGGAAGAACTATCCCATAATCATAAGTTAACTCCATCATAGGAGGGATATGTCTAATGGCATAGAAAGCAATGTGGAGATCTGATTCATTCTTATTTTCACGTATGACAGGACGCCATAATACATTTGGAGAGCAGCTGTGATTCATAAACCGAGCAACATTCCCTTCATTTCTTGCTGAAATATAAAGGGGGGATGGGATTTTTGGTGCTTCAGTATCACCAGGAAAAACTTCCAGTTGCTGATAAATTCGAGTAGAATCAAAAATGTAATCATCTTCATTATCACCACCAAGCTCTTCTACTCTAGCATTATCTATGACTTCCCCTGCATACTCACATATAAAAGTTCCTGCACGAATAGAATCCCATGATCTAAGACCCCAACCTCTATCCTTGGTTTTAAAAACCTCCAAACGAAGCTTCAAGCCAGTTTGGGAAACCCGATTTCGGCAATTAGAAGGGCACTGACAAGAATGACCACACTCATATACCACAGATTCTAGGTCAGCAAGTAATGAAGCGGCAGAATACGGTAGATAGCCTCCATTCTTTTGAATGCAAGAACAGTTATAACTGCCAGGTTGACATCCACCAACACAAGAACACCCAACAGAAGATTCCACAGGAGCTGTTGGCCTCAAATTCTTGAGAGTTGGGATGTAAGTGAAATACGCAGGGCCCTTCTCGTTATCAATATCATTCACAAGACAAACAGGTACATTTTCAGCCCCAGAAGTAAGATCAGGCAATATAACCCCTGCTCTTGAAGCAGACTTCTCAGTCCATTGTTGAATGGATTTCCATATCATATATGCTTGAGGCTGCCCAGGCAACCTGACTAATTTATACTTGAATACATTGAAACCAGACTTTGATTTCTCCACCCATGAATTTTGAATCTTGTAAAGACCGTCATAGACATATACCTTCCCAGTTGGATGTTGTACATCCCTCATACCTCTAATTACTCTCACATCATTACCTCTATGAAGACTCCTCTCTAATGCAAGATTACCCCTTTCAAGCTTTTGGTCACTTGCTCCCTTGTCACGGTTAACCCCACCTTGACCACTGTAAATCAACACATCCCCATCCTCCACGTTATCTTCATACCCCCCAGATGAGACAATACTTACAGCTAATGGCTCCTCCTCCTGAGTGGTTTTGCTACCAATGTAATCAATCCCAGCCATAGAAGGAGCATGTAAACCCACTAGGCACAATTCAAATCTGAAAAAGAAAATATCTCCAATCTCAATACCAGGTACAGCTCCAATACGTTTCTTGCTGTTAGTCCGAACCCCTTTACTCATCATAAGTGTACCTGCCTTCAAATCAGGCCGTTTTGCTCCAGAACCTACGTCCCTTGTAGAATCATCAATTTGTCCAAGCTTTCTTCGCAGCACTTCATATATCATAAGTGTATATGCAACTGAGTCCTTGCCACCTTCAGGTTGATTTAGTACATCAAAAACTATGGGGTTAAGTGTTTTAAGAATATCGTTAACCACTGCATCTGGATCAACATCAACAGAACCACCAGTCTGCTGTCCCTTTGCCTTCTTGTGTGATTTGCGCGTTAACCTCCTATCTCCAGTTCCGTCTTCAGCACCAACATCAACCATCTCATCATTACCATAGCCAACTTCCTCCGCAACCTGTCTACGAGTTCTAGCATTCCTTCGCGACGAGCCCGCATCTCCATTTGCAGCACCAGTTGGTTTCTTAAATGAATTAATAGGAACTGCAGAAGATATTGGGTTAGCAGCCACACGCTGACCAGTCGGGGTTTGCGCATTTTGTTCAGAAAGCCTCTGGGACTCGGGCGAGATAAAGAAAGGGTAAAAAGGTGCAACACCAGAAGGGAAAGGGCCAGAAGGAGAAGCACAAACAAAAGGAGCACCACCTTGTGGAGTTGAAGATGAAGAGGGATTATTAGATGGTGAAGGGAACACAGGTACAAGAGTCCTCAATGGCTTCACATTTAAAACCCTAGACTTATCAAAGGACCCAGATGCAGCTGCAGTGTCTTGACCCAAATTGTGTTCCATTGATACAATTCTACAAGAGTTCAACCACTCTCTCTACTACTACCAACCTTCCCCAAAGTTTTGCATCCAACAATCTCAGTGTACAGGACAAGCCAACGATTAAAAAGGAAGAGAATAACAACTCTTATGGCTGGTATGTTCAGAAATAATCAATGGAATGCTAGATAACATTAATCAAGTACCAAAAATCACAACACATGGGATGAACGATATAAACTTTCGAGACAACACTGGCAAAAACAACACAGTTCCTGTAACATGCAAGAAAATATTGAGTCAGAGACCTAACCGAAATGATAAAAACAGAGAGAAATTTAACCAAAGAAAAAAAAAACAAAATTGGGTTGCCAAAATGACCCATAACATTTCTAACACCAACCCCCACTCAGAGAATGGACGTTAAAATTTAAAAATACAAAATAAAAATTAACGACACAAAACCATGCGAAACGACAACCCTGAAAGGGACGAAAGGTGGTAAAAAAAAAAATGCAAACTTTATGTCTTAAATCTGACAAGAAACGAATATGCCTCCTCAGATCAGATCAGAGGGTTTAAAAAAAGGGAAAGAAAATCAAATTAAAGGGTGTGAGCTCCGAAATTGGCTAATATAGTTTGAAACTTTGAGACGCAAGACTGAAAAACGAAGCAAACCTGAAATGGGTTTTGCGGATTAAGGTGAGTTCTGTGAGCTTCACTTTGAGTCCATGAAACTTCCCGAACCAAAGCTGGTTCCGTACGTTCGGAGGAGAGAGACACAGAGAGAGAGAGTTTTCTCTGTTTCAATGTCGGTATTTTGTTCAATAAATGATCAGATGCTGGCGAGAACACGAAGGGATGCAGTTTTGAGGATCATGAGGATGACGTGGCCAAAATTGATTGGAGAATTAAGGAAAGTACACGATAATTGGTAAAAGTTGTTTATTAGAAAGAGGTGGTCCTTTGGGTGAAGCGGAATGGTGAATGGAGAAATGGACGGGTCAGATTTCAATAGGTGAAAAAGATGTGAGAGAATCTTACAGAAATAATCACAAAATTAATTTATTTCATTTATTTAAATTTAACTATTATATGCAGAAAATTACTAGGAGAAAGGGGTATTTTGAGTGATTTGTTCTTAAAAGATAAGGATGATAAAAAAAATCTACTAAACAAGTATTCAAGATTTTCTTGTAAAATCTCAGATTCTGTGACAAAACCACTTTGAGATGTGTACTTCAATTATTTTTTAGAGGAATATTTTTTTTTCTTGTTTAAGAAACAGGGTAGTTGGTACAATTACTATTTTTTTAAAATATTATCTCATTCTTATCTTTTGAAGTTACTATATTTTAAGTGACAGTATATAAATATTTAATAAAAAAGTATATTATATAGAAAAAAAATGCCAAAGACATTAAATAGCAACATTAAATGCACTTTTATGTTAAAGGAAAAATAATTATTTTTATTGTATATTTATTTAAGTGCATTTAAAGATATACAATAAAAAATAATAAATAATACTTTTATTAAAAATTATTATATTGAATATCATTTATTTATCAACTAATAAAAGATTGGTCCATGTTAAGTTTTATGTTTCAATCTTAGTGAATGCAATTTAAAATTTTATTAAATTTTATAATATTTTGTGATTTTAATAAAAATTATCATATATATTTTTTTATTATATTTCTTTCTATGCATGTTTAAAAGATTACTTATTACAATTTTTAATGTACATTAAAAACATATATTATGAAGTATTAAATATATTTTATTAAATATTTTTAATTATTGTAAAAACATTTTTTGAATTTTTTATTATTTAAAATAATTCATATTTTTTAATATTAATAAAAAAATTGATATGTACCATTAGACAAACATTATAAAAACTATATTATATAATGTAAATTTATTTTGCAAAAGACTCAACATTTAAAAAGATTGGTCTAAATAGCAAACAACTTAAATTTGAGTTTTTGTGTATACAAAAAATCTCTTCTATCACATTCAAGTGTGTTCAGGTCAAATTCATAATAAATAAAATTTTAAAAATAAACATTGTAATTGAAATAAGAATATTATTTTAATATTGAAGCTAACTATGAAAATTAATAAAACAAAAAATATTCATTAAAAGTATAATGTTTAATTAAAAATAAGCATCTTTTTAATCTTAATTATATCATGTAACAAAATTATAATTATATAAGTATGTTTATTATATATGTGTATATATGTACATTCATATAAATTAGTAAGTGGTTTCAACCACGCACAAATATTTTTTTTAAAATAAATATGCATATAATTTAATAAATAAAGAAAAAAAAATTTATATTTAGGTATGCATATATAAAATTATTTTAAATGATAATTTTTTAAAATATAATTAATTTTAAATATTATTTTTATGGTATGTACTATTTAATGAGTTGAATTTTATAGTATCTTACATATACTTCTATTTTTTTCCAAGTAAATACCAAAATATGTATTCTCACTTATTTAATGAGTGAAAATCTTCTATATATATATATATTACTTGTATTCATTAAACATATCTCTAGTTTGCATCCAAGCCAAAAGTTTGAATTTCTATCCTAAGCTAAAGAATTAGTCATTGCACTACATTTTTTTTACAAAAATACATATGATCATAATTAATAAATTAAAAAACATTACAAAACATATCATACAATACGGAACCATTATTAAAAATAGAATGAGATTATATTTGAAGCATCAATAAATTTTGAGAGTATCACCTTTAAAAATGATAATCTCTATTACAAAAAAAAATTATAATAAAATTCAACTTATTTATAGTAAAAAATATATAAAATAAGAAAAATTCGAATACAATCAAAATGTCAACACATTTTAAGATGAAAATATAATAATAAATGAATGAATCATGCATCATCAATAAAAAGAAAAAAAAAACTCAAAAATAATATATCAATTTAAAAATATAAATTAATAAATTATAAAAAAAATCTTAAATGTTGTCTCTCATGCCCACACTTCATGGTGGTTATGAATGGTAGCTATAAAGGCTAAAGGCGATATTCTTTTTGTCTTGCAATTCAGTCTTTTGAGATATGCACAGTCTGAAGTGCACGTGTGCAAGTATGGCTAGAATCGAATTGTGCACGACCTTGTGCATGTCTATCCTTTATATATATTACTAAATTAAAATATCTTTTAACATAAAAATTAAAATTTATTGCATAATTTTTAAATTTTCACATATTTTATAAATACAATTATTTTTATTATTATTAATGATAAATATTTTATATATTAAATAAAATTAAATAAAAAATATTTAAATTAATATATTAGTCTCTTAATTCTTAATTTTGTTTTAATTTAGTTTTTTAACTTTTTTTTCATTTAGTCTTTTAACTTACAAAAGTGTTTTAAATAATTTTTTTTCATAAAATAGGTTAATTCTAGTAAAAATTTACTATTTATCACTTTTTTTCTCATAAACTTCAATAAAAATATAATATATTTCACTGAATTTTTTATTATCTTTTTTTCTCTCTCTCTCTGTTTTTTTTTTTTTTTGCAATAAAAAGCACCACCCTCTATTCACCGTTAAAAAGATCTAAACTTCTCACTTTTCTCTTATGATTCTTTCTGCGAACTAACATTTCAAACTTACAGAAAAAAGGTAAGAATTTCCTCACCTTTATGCTACCTTCGAATTTCACTTATTCATATTGGGATAGTAACATTGTCAATAATTACATTGGATAATATTTATGCCATAACAGTCTAGTTTTGTTTGATTTTCTGCATTGAAGCAAATTTTGATCTATTTTTTTAAATTTGAATTCTCACTATTATATTGTATTATAATTATCTCTGCATAGCATACAAAATTCTCGTTTGGAGCTTTTAGGTTCAATTTTTCATGTTGTCCCAAACAGAATAAATTACGATTCTTGGCAAAAATGATGTGTAGGTTAATCAACGTGAACCTTATCATGTATGAAAAGATAAGTTTTTGTTAAAATTTGAAGAGGAGAACAAGTGTGAATGATGAGTAAAAGGAAGAAAATGATGTAGGAGTTAATCAATGTGAAACCTATCATATATGAAAACAGAAATTTGTTAAAGTTTGAAAGGGGAATATATACAGATGATGGGTAAGAGGAAGAGAAAAAAATGAACAAGAAATGTTTTTGTCAAAGTTTGAAGAAGGAGAAAAATGGGTTAGGAGATGTGGACGGGGGGTTAGAGGAGGAAAAGAAATGAAGAAAAATGAAAAGAAAAAGAAATAATTAGAAAATTCACCATGTTTAGTCATTTCTTTCTTTCATTTGTCGTTACTGTGCTTCACTATAATCACTTCCCTTTTTCTTCAAACTTTCCAGTTGATAGATGTATCAGTAACAATTTCTCTAAATTAATATAATATAATACAAACAAAATTCTAATGAATAAACTATGAGATAAAATGTATTAGTAATAAAATAAGAAAAAATTCAAATTATTAATAGAAAAAATTAGCTATTATAAGTTAAGAAGTTGTACATGATAGATTAGCTGCCAACAATATTTATGACTACCTATTCCATTTATTCATTTTTATATGGATCCAACTTTTCTCTAATTAACATGAACATAAATATTTAATTTAATTTTTGTTTAAACAAATTTAAATTCACTTAAACAAAATTATCCGCTTAAACAATTCACTTAAGCAAATACATATACATTTTAACTTTATTTTCTTCTCGCTCACTCTCTTCTCTTCTTCCATTCAAAGCTTTAGTTGTTTCAACTCCTTCTTCAGCCTCTCGTTCTCTGCTTTCTTCTCATTCATTCTCCTTTCACTCTTTATCCTTTTCATATATCTGTCATTATACGGTTGCTTCCATTTTCCAACATCTCTTATCTTCAGTCATTAATTTAATTCCTTCCTCTTCATCACTCTTTGGATTTAGCATTTAAATTGATACAATAAATGTCTTTTTCCATTGTTCACTACCCATAGCGTGAAGTTGGGGTTTCATGGTGGTAGGTGGGTGCTTAATGCTTGTCCCAGTGACAACGTTAAAATTGATGAGATTGAAAAGTGAATTCTGAGTTTTGCTTAAATAACAATTTTCCATCTCTCCTTGCTTCCTCTTATTTCACTCCAATGAGCTCTTGATAGCTCCAGATCCAGTTCTCAGCTTTGAAAGGGTCTTGGGAATGATGTTTCTGCTTAAAGGATTTGGTTGTGTTGTGTGGTTCATGGTGTTTTGTAAGGGAATATGGAGTTGCTTCTTTGACTACATTGCGGATGGACAGGAGAAGTTGGCTACAGCTAAGGAAGTCATTTGAGAGAACTATTGTCCATGATTAATTTCTTCTGCCTAAGGAAGCTTCATACTATATTATATACTTCTACTTTAGTTAAGGGTATTTGCTTTAAGTAGATATTTTTACTTAAACAAAAATAAGACTAGATGTCTAGTTCTTACGTTAATCGAATAGTATCCAAATCTTTTTTATTTGATATTTTCATTGTCAATTAGATATTTCATGTCACAAAAAAAATATTTATCTTTATCTTTATATTTATAAAAGTAGAAGAATGGGTTAATGTTTTCCTTCATTTTGAAGGTTATTATTGTCATTATACCATATTCAGTCATTTTTTCTTTCCATCAGTCATTATTATTGAGAAATGCTAGAAACACTTTCTCTAGCATGCACTTTTTAACACATCTCACTATTGACTAAAATTTATTAAAAATTAAAAAGTATAAAAGAAAAACATTAATTTAGGAATAAAAAAATAATATAATTCATATAAATTTTAATAAAACT